GCCCCCCTCCCCGCACCGGGGCTCCTGGCCTGCCCCGCCCCCTGCTCCCCGGGACAGCTGTGGCCTCCTGGGTTACCGGCTCTGCCCTGCTGTGGGACTCCCCTTGCCCAGGGTGACCGGGGCCTCTGAGCCTTGTCCCCCTCCCGGGACAGCCGGGGCTCTCTGGCCTTCGCGGGGGTCCAGCTGCCTTTCTGCTCCCTGCCCTGCATCGGGCTGCCGGCCTCCCCCGTCCCCGGGACAGCAGGGAGCTGCATGTGCTCACCTGCCCCCACTCTCGCTGCCCTGTGAGAGCTGCCCCGGGGCCCTCTGGGCTCCTCTTGCTCTGCCCCGACTCTGCAGCTGCCCAGGTGCTGTCCCTCCCTGAAGGTGAGGAGAGGTCTCGCCTCACACCTCACTTTCTCCTTGGTTTTCTCCTGCTGTGACCCTGCTGTCACAAGAAATCCATGTGCCTGAGAAACTAATGATCTTTGTATCTCTGCAAGTGATGCCACCTGGGAGAGACTTGTGTGTGGCTTTGTTTCCCCGTCCTGTGTGCTGGTCTTGATCCCTGGACTGGTGTCCAGCTCCTGCATGCTGCGCAGGCAGCCTGCACCAGGTCCTCTGCTCTCCCCACAGGTCCACCGTGCTGCTCTCTGCATCTTCCACCCAGCTGGGGGTAGCAGCTGGAAGTTAAATCCCAACACTTCTTTCTTCTGAAGCCCAGGGGAAGGAACCTTTTTAAAAACTGTTTTCTGCCCTGATATCTTAATTCAGGGCTTTCAGTTGGTCTTAGTGGGGGGTCTTGGCAGCCCTGTTAATCGAGCCCTAGAGAAGGCTAAGGCAGCATCTGTGAGCAGGGTCTGGAGGCGGTTCTGTGGGAGATTCCTCTTCCTTTGTGCCACCAAGAGCGTTTCTTTGGGCACTTGCTTCTGAGCAGCTGAGTGCTGTGTGGCAGCAGCTGTGCTCTAGGAAAACTGTCATTACTTTCGTGTGGGTGCTTTGCATAAGGCCTCCCATTAAGGGGCGCTCCGTCCAGTGCTGGCTGCAGGTGCTGGGCTGATCAAAATTAAGTTTTCAAGCACCAGCAGCGCTGTGTGCACGGCATACCCAGCTGGGCTTGGGGGCAGGCAGCCCCTCCTCCTGTCCGGGGACGGATCCTGTGCTGAAGATAACTGCAAGGAGGGGAATAGAGCAGAGAGGGGCTACAGTCCTGGTGAATGTTGAAGGACTCTTATGGGAAATGCCTTAAAAGGGGTCTGGTCTAGCTTGGTCATGGAAATTTCAAAAGATTAAAGGGTTTGATAAATCTGATTCTTTTGAGTATGAGGAATATTCCAGGAATGAGGTGAGGGATGAAGAAGTGATTGGAGAGAAATGTCATTCAGAGGTTGATCGACACATGGTGTGCACAGATGGTGAGGGTAATGGAGACCGCCAGGCATGAGCGGTATGGAGGAGCTACAGAGTCCTGCTCTCCTCTGGGCAAGCAAGTTTCCTCCTTCAAGAGGGGGGAAAAAAAAAAAGCAGTAAATTGTGGCGCAGCCCTTGGGAAAAGCAAACCTGTTCACGTTTGTCCTTCCATCTCGGGCTCTGCCTGTGACACAGTCCCACCTACGGGGCCGACTGGGAGCCTGCGAGCGCTCTGCTCCTCTGTGGAGCCGCGCTGATGCCCCTGCAGAGCCCTGCAAGACGTTCATTCTGTCTGTGCTCTCCCTCCTGTTCAGGTGTGAAGCCATTGCACAGCCTAATCCACACGTGTCCTCTCCTTCCCTCCCCAGAACTCCTCTGAGATGCCAGAGACCATTACCAGCCGAGATGCTGCTCGTTTTCCCATTGTTGCCAGTTGTACCCTTCTGGGGCTCTACCTCTTCTTTAAAGTAAGTAAGCAATGTTAGTGGGCCCACAGAAGTAAAGACAACTCCTTCGTTCCTCCTTGCCGCTTAGCCCTGCTGCGTTTGCCTTCAGGAACCCCAGAGATGGGGCTGACTTGATTTTTGGCTTACCCTGTGAGGGCCTGTAGTATTGGGACAGAAGGTCTTTTAAGGCTACACAGCTTGAGATTCTCAGTGTCACCAGGCAGGAGGACGTTAGACCTCACCTGAATTCTACAGCCCTTGGGTAATTCAGAGCTTGTTTGTGCGTGTGGTTGTTCTGGAGGCAGTTGTAGAGAACTGAGTACACCCCTGAGCTCTGCCTTCCTCCTTGGGCCAACTGAGGGTGTGCAAATAGAAACCGGAGGGTGCCAGAGACTCTTGAATTACAAATGCTTCTGTCTGTGTGTGGTGTTCCTAGCTATGCTCCTAAAGCCATCTCAGTTGTAGGCCTAGGTAATTGCTAAGCAAAAAAATAGCTTGTGGGCAACCCCATATGCGTTTGGGTGAAGTCTTTTACGCATGTAAATTCAACAGGCTGAGGTAAATGACAGTTCCTGAGTCACAGATAAGAGATCTGAGCAGCAGGTGCTTTAGGCTGTATATGTATGGAAAAAGTGTCTTGACCTAAAGCACCTTTGGGTACCTCTGCACATGCCCAGCATGTGGCTGAGCACCTGGTGGGCCTGGAAAAGCTATAGAACTGCCAGTGCAGTGTGGGCCTGTCGGGCAGCACCTGTGGATTGGCGTGTGGATAGGAGGCCTTGACAGCACGCAGCCCTCTGTCCTGGGCTGCCCGAGAGGTGGCAGAGCACTCCTTGGCAGGCACTCCAGCAGTGCGGCAGGAGGTGGGGGTTAGGGATTCAAAGGTGGGAATGTTTCAGTTCAGTCTCCTCTCTGTGCATAGCAGTTACTGTGCAACAGCTGACTGATGCTGCCTCTTGCAGGCTCCTACCCCTGGTTGAGCTGCTGCGGGCTGCTGCGCCTCGCGTGAGCTGGTGCTGTGCAGGTCTTTACCCCACCGCATGTGTGGGCTCAGGCCTGCACGCTGCAGCTGCCCTGTCTGATCTTTGCTAACAGGGAAGGCAAGCATGTGCTGTGGCTCGGGTGGCTGTGGACAGAGTGCTGCAGATGTGTGGAGATAACTTCTGCAGCAGAAGGCAGGGCAGGCTGGATCACACTTCCCTAGCAATAAGCCCTGCTTTGCCAGTGGCAAAATTGAGCCTCGATTTACTTGTGTGCTCACTGGAGTTGCTGCAGTTCCTCTTTTAGTAGTAGTGAAGCAGAGCGTATGCTGGGCACTGATAATGATGGGAGTACAGAGCTGGCAGCCAGGCTCTTCAGCCCACTGAAATGATCCTCTGGAGCCCACGCTGGCCCAGTGGCCCACTTCTCAGGGTACTTGGGGACCTTTCCTGCCTCTTACTCCTGGTTGAGACTGAGACACCAGGAAACAAAGTACTGAATGTGCAGTGTGACCCAGTTAAAGTTGCTGCATGATCTGTGGCTTCTTCCTTTTTAGTATCTGCAACCTGCCATAAGCTCTAGTATTCCAGCATTCCTCCTTCTAGGAGACCAAGAGAGACCAAAGGCCAACTTGGGTGCATGAGAGTGCCTTGCTGTGGGGCCTAGTGCACCCTGAATCACAGGGGATGTGATTCTGTGGTAAGGCTGTGCGTGCGTGTTGGAGGGCAGGAGTTCTAATAATACCCTGGTAAACTAGGACAGAGCGTGTGCTCGGCCTGCTGTAGGAGTGAGGTGGCAGGGAGGTGCTGCCGTCCCTCTCCTGGGATGGCCTGCCAGAGCTGCGTGCCATTTCACTCTGTGCTCAGCCTCTCTCCACAAGAGATGTGCTAGGGAAGCTGTGTCCTCCTTTCTGCAGTGCGGGAGTTATTTTTTGACCTAAGCAGCTCATAGATGTGCAACGACTCTCAGGCCCCTTGTGCTTGTTCTGCAAGTACATGGCTATTGCCTATGTATTTCACATCAGCAGTGTTAAAACAGTGCAATAATTTGGGTTATTCCAACTTTTCTTCCCATCTTCCTGAAGCAGTGATGCAGCAACTGCCGATTACAACATAAAACTGTTTCTCATGCTAGAAACAGGGGGAACATTATGGTAACCTCCCTCTGATTTTTTTTTTTTTCCTCGCAGATATTCTCTCAAGAGTACATCAACCTCCTGCTCTCTATGTATTTCTTTGTGTTGGGGATCCTAGCCCTATCCCACACCATCAGGTACAGTGGAGGGATGGGAGGTGTGACAAGGGCAGGGGTGCCCGAGGCTGGCTGCCCTGGGAGGCAGCAGGGGGTTAAGCTTATAGTGGAGTTTTCTAGAACAGTATTGCCTTGCAGCAGAACCAAATCTCAGCTCTTGGTGTTTTCCCTTGGTAGATCTGAAGGGCTCTGTAAGGGCAAGCAGTACCATCGCTGCTTCACAGCTAGGGAGATAAGCCCAGAGGGTGCTGCGAGCCCTTCTTCTTGGGGAACCAGAGTTAGAGCCGAAGTCTTGGGCGTCTCAGTGATCCTGTGTGGTGTTGCTGGGAGAGCTCCCAAGAGTGTGGGTGGCCACTGTCGGAGGACAGGACCAGCTGCACCAGGAGGAGCTGCTTGGTCTTCGCATGGCCCTCTGCTCTGAGGGGGAAAGAGCTCCTCGGCAGCCTTGTTCCCCTTACTGGGGTGGCTGAAACAGGCAGCTGGAGTTAATGTCTCACACTCGTGTTTGGTGCGAGGTGTTGAAAGCTCAGACCGTGTTTCAGTAACTGAAAAAGTAAAACTGGTTTCCTGTTTCCTGAGCTCTAGGGGGTTGGGGACCAGATGCTTTCCCT